AATGCTTTGTTAAAAAGGGAACTGGGTTTTTTAAGTCCCTTTCCCATCTTTTAGGTGTTGGTTTTTTTAATAGAAAAACATTTGTGATTACTTTCTGTACAGCATTTTAAAACTGACACTAAGCAGCATCACATACAGTGTCTGCAAATTAGGGGATCCCTATATTGAACGCTACCTAAATTCCTTGGGGTCTGTTTTCACTGACTAATACTCTCTCCCCCTCTCAAATTACAATCTTACTTAGATTTCTGATGCATCAACTCCTCGAAAAAATAATCGTATTCATTTCTACAGCTTTTACAAATATAATAAATGATTTGTGTTTAAGTCTGAGTCACTGTTTTATTTTTTATTACGAATATCATATGTTTGGCAAGCTGTCTGACCTTCCTTTTGATGATGAACGCTGCAACAAACAATTTGCTGTATCTTTAAAGAAATGGCCAATTCAATTACATAATGCCAGAAGCTCTCAAATCCCTCTCTGCCAAATGTCTTCCCTGTATCCTGCCACAGACAGGCCATTTGTATTCCAGCACAGTAGGACACTTGTTTTATTGAAGCGTACAGTTCTACTTAGGTACTATCAACAAAACACCATTTCAGTTTTCCAGTTCTGTGTTCCTTTTCTGCCTGCTCTAGCCATGGTTATATTAAGATTTTCAATTTTACTGACCAAAAGTGTGTACGTTGCTAATTATGTGCCTAAAATCTAGTAGCTATTGACTAGTACAACAAAATACATTAGTGACCAATTACAGTAGTTTTTGGCAGCATTGGTTACCATTTTAAAGGATTTAATCATTGCACTTAAAGTGAAGTTTGAGATTCCCTTTGAGACTACACCACTAATTGCTTCTGTTTTGCCAGTTATTGCATGAGATGGTTTGCAAAAAGGATCAGTAAAGATGCTTTCTAAATATCAGAGATTAACCAAACAAAATAAGTCAGGTCGGTAATGAGTCTTTTTTCATCCACCTAAAGAAGATGCAGAAATGTTCATTCACATCACAGAGCATCCTCCACATAACCGTCTCCCCCTTCATTTCCTCCAATACCTCTCAACATTTGGAGAGACAACAGTATAACAGTATTTGCTGTTCATGTGTACTGCACATTAACTGCATTTGCATTTCTATTGACGGTTAGTGTGAAAACTGCACCTGCTCTAAATAAAGCCATTTTTTCCTGTGTGATAGGTGAACAATATGTGGGAATTCATATGGCGATAGTATGTTTAAAAGGAATTAGGCTCTCAAAAAAAAAAAAGACAAATATTGAACTATATCATCATAATGTAGCCTCCTGCTCTCCAGGAATCATTAAAAACAAACAGTCACCCTCTAAAGGAACTTGTAATATAATGTATTCTTCTTTAAAAGCCAACATCCACCTGCAAGTCCCCTACTAGTGATCAGTTCTCATTTACAGCCTTGTAAAGTAGCAATGTCTATATATTTTAATGCTGAGGCCAAACAAGGGACTTTTCTGCCTTTCAAATTTAGTGAGATATAGTTTTCCAAACCCCAAGGAAAGGCTGTAACACTTTGCTTCAGACTGTGAAATAAAATGGAGATTTAATTTCATCAACATTTTAGGTTTGATCAGAATAAGGGATTGTATGCTGACGATCAAAAGTAGTCTTCCTAGCAACTATCTAGTTCTTCTACTTCCCTGAAAAGCAGTAATTTCAATAGATGCAACTGTTTAAATAAACTAATTTGTTTCATTTTCATGAAGTTTTGGGTTAATTAAACTTCAAATGAGTCAACCCTTATCCTGACCCCCATCCACATAAAACACCCTACGAAACAAGTTTCTTCATAATATAAAAGAGAAGAAAACCTTCTAGAAATAACTTTTAAAATGTCAGTTTCATTAAGAATTTCTGTAGATAAATTGATATAAATATAATTGTAAATACTTAATTCATCTCCATGAGAAAGAAAGAGCCCTAAGTCCCCAGATAGTGAAAGATTATCCATCATACTCATTGAACACTAGTAACACAGTATCTTAAAAAATTACTGTCGTAAACCGTTGACTGTAGTTCACAATAGTAATAATCCCTCTGAAATTAGCTGTTAAACACAGCTAAAATGCTACATGCTACAGCATCAACAGGCTTTGCTTGGTTTCATCTTTGCCTATTAGCTAAAAAAATCAGACATTAAGTTCTGTTAAATTATTTCTCAGGGACTACAGTATAATTTAATACCACACACACAAAGTTGCACGAAAGAATTTTTATGTTGTTGCAAACTAGGGGCCAGATTTTCAAAAGAGCTCAGAACACTACAGCTTTCATTCAGAACAACGTTCCCACCAGGAGCAGCTGGGTACAGCATATGTACAAAAAATATCACCCTTCATTTATTTGCCAAATAGGGAAAATCTGGCCTCAGTGCACTCACTTTCAATTTTAAAAGGAAATGCATGGGTTCACAATGATCACAAGTGAGTAGCAAATATATGAGTAGGCTGGATAAAGCACTTGATAAATCACTATAGGGAAGAATCCTGTACCAATAAGGGGATAAACTACATTACTTAACTAGAGTGCCTTCATCTTCTAATTCTGTGGTGGACTTTTTGCCTTTTGCATACAAACCAAGTACATATATGGTCTTCCTGGCCTACTGTTCCTGTGAAAAGAATCAAAACACCTACTTATCTCTGTTCCAGTGCAGGACAAATACTACTACATGTTCTTTGAAAAGCACAGAATGACAATCTTCCTTTCCACCAACAAGCTTCTTTGTCATGTAACGATTGAAACTTTTAAACTATAACTCCAGAGAGACCACCTTTGTTGCTGCCCTTAAAAATGACCAAAAAAAGTGAACAATGCAGAGGAAGAAAATAATCTTAAAATGAATGCTTGAATTTATACAGAGTCCAAGATACTAAAGGCCAGGAAATACCTTGTCAGTCATCACTATCAATAGCAACAGACTAAGTACAAAGAGAAGGACAGATGACTTAGGGTTTATAAATGAAAAATTTTGATGAGTATTATTATAAAAGTTAAAAGAAACAAGAAAACATCTCTGAACGGTCTATATCAGATTGAAAACAGAAATGTTAAACTAATTTTGATTTTAAAATATGCAAACTATTATTTAACAATATGATATTTCTCCCCTTTAAAAAACCTTACACCTGCATACTGGGAGTCTTTAGGGTAGATCCTGGATATTCATTGGTTCAGGGGTGTGCCTGGGCATATGCATTTGCAGGAACCAGCCCTTAAACAGGAACAACAAATTCACATGAAAACAACCACCGAGTTTTAAAGCTGCAAATGACAAACAATGTGAGATTACTTGAGTTACAAAACAAAAAATGACCTTAAGTGGGGGTCTTACTGTATTTCACAAAGATAAGAATAGATTCTTATGCTATGTACATGTGGGTGTGTAATGAGTTTAAAATCTTACATGGTGTTGTAGCTTATGAAACTTAGTGATTTGTTATAAGAGGTGTCATGTTTAATTCTCTCTTTATACCACAAGTGATTAAAAAGGCAAAAAAATGTATACTTGCACTATAAAGAAATAATCAGTTAATACCACTGCAAGCTAAAATATGCTTGCCTACACAGCTATCATACATTTATCAACTTTTTATTATTTTCATTCGTTGAATACAGGAATATGATTAAGCCATGGCAATGTTTTTGAATCAAACACACTGATATGTCTAGGTCAGACATGAACCGAAAGCAATGGACTTCGTAAGAGACAGTTTCTCTAAAATGTAACATAGGTAGAAATCAAGAATCTTTGCCTTACATAAACAACAATAAACCTCCTCAAACTAAAAATAACTTTTATGGCAATAATAAATTCCCAGCATGGAGAAGTGCTACAATTTTGGTATTCATTTCAGAAAACTCAGTGACCTTTGCCTCTATATTAAGAATACATACTGGGCAAGAAAGGGGGAAAAAGTGGTTGCTTATCTGCTCATTCAAACTACCCCAGTTTACATGGGATCCATTTGTATTTTAAGAAGTATCTATTGTGAACCACCTTACCCAGTAAAATGAAAAGTCTTGGGGGTGGCATAGGGGAAACATAAATTTGGTTCTTGGATTCTCACTTCCTAAGAAACTGCCAGCACCTTCAGTCCTGTTATGGAAGGGAGTACCCTTGCATTATTAATGACGACTCTTTTAATTGACTCTGCAGCAGCTTTTCCCTCAATTAACATGGCAAAGAGCAACAACGGTCTGCAACTTAGGGCTTATCTTCACATACACTGGTGCAGCTGCATCGCTGTAGCACTTCCTTGTTGTTTTTGTGGATACAGGCTACCCCCGATACTTGACACTTTAGTAAAGACACTATTACACCAATACGAGAGCTTCTTCCATTGGTGTAGTTAATCCACCTCCTCGAGAGGCGGTAGCTATGTCAACGGGAGAAGCCCTCCCATTAACAAAGCGCTGTCTACATGCAGGGTTAGGTCGTTGCTCAGGGGTGGGAATGTGAATCCAGAGTCCTCTCTCATGTGCTCTTTTCTACCTATCTCTGCTCTCTGGTGCTTGACTGTTTCTGTGCTCAAACCTTCCTCTATAAGGCCCTGATCCTACAAAGTGCCATGCAACCGGGCCCCAATCCAGCAAAGCGTGTGCTTAACTTTAAGTCAGTGATAGTTCCATTGCACTCAGCAGTTATTCTCACAAAACTAAATCAGCAAAAATAAAAGGCCAAGAACAACAGAAGATGTTTTAGCTATAATCTTTTTCTTCGCTTAACTTTATATAGGCTTTGAGGGTAGAAACAAAAAACAAGGCCTTTTATGAAGTGCCGAAGGTAATACACAAGCTCTTAAAGAAGCAAGCCCAAATATTCTTGCCCTGTTTTATTCCAAGAAACCTTGAGTCATCTGCATAGTTTCCAGGGATTAAAGCCAGTACAGTTAATATTTATTTTTCAGGCACAGAAAAGCTAAAAAAAGCTGACAGTATTTTAATTATTTAAACATTTACTTACTCAGGGGCAAATGTAGCCAAATACCCAGTCTCCCCCAGATTTTCCCTTCAGGCCAGTTTCCTATCCTTGGGTACCTGTCAATGACAAAAAAAAAGAAAGTTCATACAAGTCCTCTTCAAGAGTTCATGACTTTACCCGAATGCTCCTTGACCCAAAAGCGTCAACTAAAAGTGCTAGATATCTGGACTGATAACAGGATTCTCTCCCATCAATTTACTCGACCAGAAAAAGGCTAAATGGACTTTTCTGTGCAGGGAGACTGCTCTCACTTTGACCAGTTCTACAAATCATTCTGTCTGTAGAATCAACAGAACATCAAAGATTTTTTTCTGAGTGAAAACTAGTGTAAATTCAGGCTACTGAAAGGCAAGTTTGATGACACAGGCATCCTTTATCCTTTTTTTAAAAAGGGGGTATTAATTGAAAGTGGCACGATCAAGGTTTTATTGGCCACAGATTTAATTTACCTTAAAACTGTTATTGCCTGAAGCGGAAATCCTACAGATTCAATTACCTTTTTACATATTGTGAGAGTTTTTGTGATTTTATTTACTTAATTAAGGTAGGGCCCAATAAAAAATATTGATAATTATGACAATATGACATAACAGTTGAAATTATTATCGCTAAGCAATAACCATCATGTTACTTTGAACTATATTCAGAGCACAGGGGGCCAAATGCTGATAGCCAAGTGGAAAAAAAGAACAAAGTTCGTGTAAGTCTGAATTTCCCCTGTTAATATGGTAGAAAAAATGATACATGAAATGAAGGGGGGGAATTATTTAATTAATTTCTTATATTTATATGATAAAAGTAATTAAAGAAAATTCAAAACAGTGGCGAGTTGAATATACATCAAAAATTTTTAAAATGGTTAAATAAAATTTTAACCATATTCTCTCCAGTCTTATTTTCTTTCGCACCGTCTATCCAGGCTCTTCCAGAAGAAATATACAAAAGGCATGGCAGCATCAACCCTCAGCTCCCTCCATTCACCGATCATTAAAAGAAAGTTATTTAAGTTACAAAATCAAGCACTTAAAAGCTAGGAAGTCCCAGAGTCAAGGTTGCCTGTGCAACCAACTTGCGCACTGAATAAGGCAGGAGTCCTATGGAAAAAATAGCAGGTAAATATGTCATTAAAGAATGTATCGTAATGCAGAGGCACATCAATATAAGCCCCAATTTAAGCATTCCTAAAACAATTGTTCCTAAAAATTCTTTACTACCCGTTATAAAATGTAACTGCATCAAAAGGATACATTTTCAATTTCTTTTATTATTTATTATTATTATTAATTGTAGAATAGTTTTAGGATAAGGAGCAATCAGCAAAAGATGAGAGGAGAGTAAATTAGATTATTTTTTACCACCATTAGGGTTACAGTATTTTATATATAAATTCTAATTGCACAAAGGCCTATTGAATAAAACATGACAAATATACAACTGTCCATGGACTGGTCAAATTCTGACCCTGGTATAATATGGAGAAAAGGGGCACAAAGACGTTACTTCCACCCTAGGACCACAAGTGCTCCAGAAAGAATGAGGGAGGACTCTTCTTCCATTACCACCTGTCTTACAGTGCAGGAAGGGATCTGAAACCTAATGGTCCCCCATATCAGTGCCCTGACATGTAAGTCTATTACAGAAATTAAAGAGACAATGTGGATGAGGTAATATCTTTTATTGGACTAACTTCTGTCGCTGACAGGTACAAGCTTATGAGCCACACAGAGCTCTTCTTCAGGCTTGGGAAAAATACTCCAAACATCACAGCTAAATGAAAGGTGGAACAGATTGTTTAGTATAAGTAGATAGCACATGCTGTAAGGGACCATTCAAGGCAGAGTGGCCTGTTAACGCTACACTGCATCACAGAAATGTCAGCCATGCTGGGATCTCTAGGTCATACAACCCACTGAGCGTCTACTCAGCTCAATGTCCACCAATTCGGTAGACCCACTACCTCCATCTGGGACATCATGGAAGCAGCATGCATGCTCATTGCCCCTCTGCTAATACCCACTATGCTTTCTCAAATACCTAATGGTCATAAATGGGCAGAGTCCAGGAAGAGTTTGGTTAACATGTAAGCATTACACATAGTCATCTCATGGATCCTAAAATAACCAGGCTGTGCTTACATGGCGACACTGAAGAGAAGAACGATGGTCTAAGTAGTGTTCAATTCCCTCCTCTGCCACAGACTTCCTCTCTGACCTTGGACAGATCACCTAGTCTCTGTGCTTTGTTCCCTATCTGCAAAATGGGGATAATAGAGCTTTGCTAACCCACAGGGACTTGTATTTATCCTTGCATTAAAGATTGTGAAGCATGAAGATACTGCAATAAATGGGGGCCATGTAAATACCATAGATAGACAGGTGCACCTCCTGGGCTCAACAGCATTGAATCCACAGAATTTGGCCCTCTGTGCATAAGCACCAGATAACGAAAATAAATGCTCCCAATTAATTTCAGCTGCTTTTTTAAATCAAAGCAAAAATGGTACCATTCAGTGACAACCAGGGCTGTTGACTTCCTACAGGCATATTAGTAATAGCAAGCTCCCACTCCTGACATTTTCTGGACCCCTGAACACAACATTGCCCTTGATTCTGTCCTTACATTTTAGATTTGAGCAAATACAGTTTCCTTCTTGAACAACGTTTCATTTGGAATTTTTGCCCTCTGCCCTGTCCCTGAGGGATGAGCCTGGATCATCTTCCCCCCACAGAGAAGGGAAGTAGCTAATAGTCCAACTTCACACGTTCTTAGGGAGAAAACAAAAAACAACCAAAGAAATGTTCCAGTCTCTTCCTGCACTGTATCTATTGTGTGTGTATTTATGGGTTGAATTTTGATCCTGAGATGATCTCACAGAAGGTGATTGGGGGGCGGGGGGTGGGGGTGGGGAGAAAGACATCAGTGTTTTCCCCTATGAAAAGTGTGTGTTTGGGAGGGAACCAAAAAGGCAGTCAAAAAAGCAACATGATTGATTGCTTTTGGGATTTTTTAAATTATATTTTTTAAACCAATCCAAGTTTTAAACATCTAGGATTGGCAATAGTGGAGTTCTCATTAACTGAGCTTGGCTTTCAACAAACCAAACCAGAACTGAGAAGTTTCATTACAAAATCAAATCCCATGAGAGCTTCATGATGAAAGTTTTGCCCACCTCTAATTCAAGTCGCACACAAAAATAACTTGGAAGAAATCTCCACTACATGCATCTTACCTTAGATCAGTGTTTCTCAAATGCGGCCATGTCATAAAAATAAAGGGAAGGGTAACCACCTTTCTGTATACAGTGCTATAAAATCCCTCCTGGCCAGAGGCAAAACCCTTTCACCTGTAAAGGGTTAAGAAGCTAAGATAACTTCGCTGGCACCTGACCAAAATGACCAATGAGGAGACAAAATACTTTCAAATAAGGAGCAGGGGGGGAAGCAAAGGGTCCGTCTGTCTGTGTGATGCTTTTGCCGGGAACAGATCAGGAATGTAGACTTAGAACTTCTGTAAAGTTAGTAAGTAATCTAGCTAGAAATGCGTTAGATTTCCTTTTGTTTAATGGCGGGTAAAATATGCTGTGCTGGAGGGAATGTATATTCCTGTTTTTGTGTCTTTTTTTAACTTAAGGTTTTGCCTAGAGGGATTATCTATGTTTTGAATCTGATTACCCTGTAAGGTATTTACCATCCTGATTTTACAGAGGTGATTCTCTTACCTTTTCTTTAATTAAAATTCTTATTTTAAGAACCTGATTGATTTTTCATTGTTCTTAAGATCCAAGGGTTTGGGTCTGTGTTCACCTGTACAAATTGGTGAGGATTTTTATCAAGCCTTCCACAGGAAAGGGGGTGTAGGGCTTGAGGGGATATTTTGGGGAAAGACGTCTCCAAGTGGGCTCTTTCCCTCTTCTTTGTTTAACATGCTTGGTGGTGGCAGCATAGGGTTCAAGGACAAGGCAAAGTTTGTACCTTGGGGAAAGTTTTTAACCTACGCTGGTAAGAATAAGCTTAGGGGGTCTTTCATGCAGGTCCCCACATCTGTACCCTAGAGTTCAGAGTGGGGAAGGAACCTTGACAGGCCACCAGGGGCTTTTCTTGTGGCTACAGCCTCCTGGGTAGTGGGGGCGGGGAGGCAAAACAGTGGCCCCTTCCCTGGGGCCACCAGCAGCAGTTGGGCCCTGCCCCCCTCTGGAGACACAAACACTGGAGGAGCAGGCAGCCAGCGAGTTTCCCACCTTCCCGAGGATGGTGGGGTCAAGCTTCAGCAGGAGGCAGGCTCCAGCTGTGGGGCTTTGGGCTCCATTCTAGGACCCAGGGTTCATCTCTGGTCCCCGTCCCCTGGAGGTAGGACTTTGGGCTCTGTCCCCAAGCTGTGCAGCAGCAGGCTCTGGCCCCAGCCCCTGGCCGGGTGTCAGTGGGCTCTGGCCCCAGGCTCACATCCCCATTACCCCTGGCCCTTGCTGCCTTCCCCAGCCCCCCATCCATTCCCCCTATCGCCTCTGACCCTGCTGCCTCCCTACCCACCTCCCTATACAAAGCTTAATTTGTCCCCTGGTATACGGGAGCCGAGTATGTCTGCCATGAAAAGTGATATTCCTATGTTTGTTAATATCACTTTTCACAGCAGATTTAGCAGCTAGCTGGGAGGCTGTGAAAAGTGATATTAACATACAAGTATCACTTTTCACAGCAGCAGTCTTACTAGCCAGTAAGTCTTTAAAAAGCAACCCAAAAAACCCCTAAAGAAACAACAAAAAAGACAAGAATGTACAAAGCACTTATTTGTGTTTCTATTCTGTTTAGGTCCAGCAAAGGATAGAGACAACTGTATATTATTTTTAATATTGAGTCTGCAAAAAAAAAAAACCACCTCAAAACCCCCCTATGTAAATAAATGACAATGACATGAACATGTATATGTGCATATTTATTTGTTTTTTCCTAAAGTTAATTATTTTAGGAAAATTGTCAGAGTAGCTACCAGCAAGAGTTGATGGCTACACTCTGAGGCCACCAAAAATTTGTTGTGAGAAGCCCTGCCTTAGATCAATATA